TACCGCCATTGCCGCCAATACCAGCGAAGCTTAAATTTACGTACTGCTCACGTAGTTGTTTTGTATTTGTCAGTAAAAGGTTGAAATAAATATTTTACTGCATAATATTTGGGACGTGTCCCAATTGCTTACTGAGTTCATTCGTACTGGCCACCATTGAAGATTCGTTGTGAATTTACATCATGCATCAGCTCGATATCGATGAGCATATGAGACGTGAATACAAGCTATTCCACGCGGTACTCTCGTTTCCTACCGCTCAACTTTTGAAAGAGTTCGAGAATTTTCACTTCAGTACGCCAGCATCACTCATACAATATTAGCTATCCGAGAGTCATGCGCCCTTCCAACCAATCACAGATTTCGAAGCTCCCTGAAGGCTGGGCGAGCGCTGAGCAGCGCACGGTTCTACAGGGACCTACCCATCGCATAAACCACCAACGTAAACTCCCACTGACCTCCACTGCCGTGCCATCGTCGCCATTCATGAGATTTTCTAACAGCAGTTTCTCTGTGGATAGCCATTCCCATTTCCATACACTGTATTAGTCGTAACCTCAAGTTTCTACGAACTTAACCCGATTAGGAAGTCACACAAATTTGGATCCCACACCTTCAATAGACAGACTTTTCGTGGTTTCTTATATACCTGTCACTATCATTTTTCTATGAGTCATGTATATTCTGTGATGACTAAGAATATTATCTAAACCTTAATTATACATAAGTGCAATCTCCAAATTGATCTTAAAACAATGTGATTTTTGAATTTATGACTCATAGATGAGATTCTTGAATAATTATTTCAGAAATCACAGCCATGTGGGACAATTTATGACTCCTGGGACCCGTTGTTCACCATTTGCCTTGGTCAGCTGATGCTCACATGACGCTGGAGGCTGAAGATTTAAGTACTTAATTAATTGCATTTATGACTGACCAGAAGGATTCTTGATTTTTTTTCAAGTATTACAGTCATCTACTGCCTCGGTCCCACAGGCTCATGATACCATTGCCCAACAGTCATATCCTGACTAATGCCATTTAAGGGTATATAAAGTCAAAGGAGCAGAGTGCGAAGATTAGACATATCCAGAATAAAGCAAGGCAATTTGCCTAAACTGGACAGGACTGGATTTTTTGTAGATATTTTACACCGGAGCGGAGCAAAATACTCATTCAATCTGATTCACTGTCACTCTGCTAGACTTTATTCTGGCAGACCATAATGAAACCCTAGACCCTTCTACCGGAGCGGAGCGTAGGACCCGACTTGTGGTAGTCTATTCTGCTGTGGCGGATGTGGGAGAGTCAACAGTGACGATGAAGCCAAACTTAGACTTCATTTCAAGTTTAATTTTGTAGCCTTTTACTTTCTCTTATTATCAGTCTCAGGATCCTGGGACGGTGTTAGGTTCGATGGTACTAAGTAACTTTCAGCAGCGTGGATGCGCTCTTTCGATTTTAGCTTTCTGGTCACTGTCTAGGGATGTCTCTGGCATGAAGTCTCCCCTCTCTTCGAACCTCTGATCCCTCTCAGTGGTAGACTGTTGTCACCATCTCCTCATGCGGAGTCCATTTATATAGTAAGTTTATCATGTGGACGAATAAGGCGTTTTGAATCCGAGAGGGTCTAAGTTTATTTTGAGTTTATTACCTTTAGTGTACTATTAGAGTTGTTGGTATCGATATCGACTGTCTTGTTCGTGTTCGGTACTCTTGCTTTCTTTCTTTTTCTACTTTAATATAGATTTAGATTCATTTTCTTTATCATAAGATTATTCCTTCCTCTTCAGTTAATAATAAGATTCCTTCTATTCCATCGATCCTCGGACGATACAAGTTACATCAATGACTCGGAGTACCAGTCATAAATACCATTCCACTTCCTATCCTAATCCCCACCCGCCACTCAAACCCTGCAGCTTAAAAGTTCCCAATATTTCAACGATTTGAATAGTGTACTACCAGCGCACCTGAAATCCCTCCTCCAAGCCAAATCCAACCGCATATATGCATCAAGCGCAGCGTCACCGTCTTACTCCAGTCAGGCTACAGTTACCCGAATCTTATGCGCCCCTCCAACCGGTCACAGATCTCGAAGCAAAGCTGAACTACCTGAAGGCTAAGCGAGCGCACGGTCCCTCTCACCCATCATATAAACCACCAACTTCAAGGTCTGACCTGCAGCGTTTCACTGGTACACGTTCTCTGAGCTCTTTCTCCTGCTCCCTCTTTCCCCTACTCCCTCTTTTATTGCCATTGTTTCGCTCGGTTTGCTCATTGGTTTCTCTTGATGTCCATATTTCTGGGTACAACCGCGGTTGAGATGAAGAATAAGAGAGTCTCATGGGCCATCACAGAGTCTGTTAATTTCACGTTCTGCGCCACTTTATGCATGGAAATTTTCCCCTTCCCCCCCCTTTTCCCCTTCATTTTATCTAGTCGATATCCTCCTTCCTTTATCCCATGTTGTTGTCTCCTAGTATCTCCCTCTTGATCCCTCGAGTCATCCTCTAGTCCGAGTCTCTCCTACCCTACGGATAGTTGATCAGTTTCTTATGCTTCTAGAAGGTTTAACGGCCATTATGGAAGGGTTCGGTGAGTGGGAAGCTCTTAATTGGAGCTCTTTCTGTTATTCAACATACTATTCAGGATCATATTCTCTTCACTTTCACGCGAGGTATTGATGTCTTTAAATTATCTGCCTTTTCTCCTCCCTCTCTCGATCCCTCTCATTTCACGAAGATCTCATAACCCGCATGTTTACTCCTGCTTTCTATACGGAGGTCTATCATGCTACGGGAAGGTTGGGATAAACAACAGGACGTGAATGAGAGGATCTAATTTCGAGATTTTTATTCCGTTATCAATCTTCTTGCCGCGCTATTGGCGTTTTTGTCCTCTCCCTCTCTTGCTTTCAGCCCCTATCATGCCGGCCTGACCTCTCCCCCTGTGTATAGTTTTTCTATATTCTATATGGGGTCTATCATGTGGAGATTCCACTCTGGAATGAACCACATGAGAGGGTCTATTTTCGAGATTTTATTTCCTGAAATTTCTTGCTCTCGGCGTTTTTGCTTCTCCCTCTCTTACTTTCAGTCCCTCTCATGTCGGCCGGACCTTTTCCCCTGCGTGTGGTTATTCCATATTTTATATGGCGCGTCTATAATCTGGTGTGTATTTTTTGGCTGAAGACCACGAGAGGGTCTAAGTTAGAGATTTCTTTCTATTTTCTTTTACCAGTTACTTACGTCTGTATTATTCTCCTTTCTTCCCATATCGATGTCTCATTTTCCTCTTCTTCCCCACTCTCGAGTCCCTCTCACTCCAAGAATGCCCATCTTGCGGGTACGTTCAATCAATCTAAGTTTACTATTTTTCCTTTTATCAAATCATCTCGGTACCGATGCGCCCCGAGTTGAAGTCCCCTTCAGCTCTCACTGGGGTCACTCATCTCGGCAGTGTCTTTCGGTCTCCCTCGTATAATTCCATCATTTATATGGAGGTCTATCATGCGGTGGATTGACGCGTCACTGCCGTATTCTGGGTGTCGCATCAGAGCTTTATTTTCTTATTATATTTCCTTGATATCGACACTGCACATTGGCGTCTGTTTTTCCCGACCGTCTGGGTCCCTCTCATTGCTTAGTTGTCAACGGGCTCCCAATGATTCTTCTATTTTTTATATGGGCACACGACGTACATGATGCGGCTGAGAGGTTCCGTTTCGGATGTTACTTCCTTCGCTATCGATGCTACGTATTCCGCATTGTCGGCTCTTTTCCTTGGTCCCTCTTTTTGTGACCGTCTCTCTGTTCACATGATTATTCCATTTTATATATGGGTCTATCATTGTGTGTACATGCGTCAACGGTCATTACACAGAGGGTCTAAGTCAAAGCATAATTTCTATCTATTATTTGATATACGGTGGTTTGTACTACTTACTTAGTCTATTAAATAAACCTTCCTGATATTGATATTCGCGACGCTGTGAGAAGTTTGTACTCGGTTCATTCCCCTATACTCGCCTTGTTACCATAATACTGAGTCAAATTTTCTATCATAACATAATCGCAGTTTCCTTGTTCTTCAACGACAATAATCTTATCATAAACTCCTAGTTCCCTTTCACCATGTCCTATTACCGGAGAACTTTTCGACCGGTTCAGTAGTGTTCGAATTCCACGCTGCACCGCCTCCGAGACCGAATCGACACTCTGAATCACCCAAATCCTAAATCCTGAAACCAAACTCCTAAGGACTCACTGCCTCTCGATGCTGTGCGCGTGAGACGTTGGCCATAACATGAACTTCTCCACATCAAGCGGTGACAGTGCCGCATATACCTACCAATGCTTCCTTAATGGCATCCAATTTTCAATTCCCCTTCAGAATCCTATGGCCAACCTAGCCAACCCAACGATCTACCAACTGGAAACCTGAATGATTCAATTCGGCGACATAGTCCCTAATTCCTTAAACGACCTCGACTCAGGCTATACGTCTGATTTCTTGAAATCCCAATGATGCTCCTAAGTACCCACTCCTTCTCCGGAATATGTATTACATGTACCCCTTGAGCTCTCGATGACCTAAACCCTACGCATACATAGAGCCCTTTGAGCTGCAGGCGTTAACTCTGTATGTCCCTGAAGTGGTCACCGTTCCAAACATCGCAACTCATAATACGTAACTTAAAGACCCACATCCTCCCTTTCAGGTGGCACGCATAGATATGATAGGGAGATGAACGTCTTCCAAGTATGAATACGTTGGGTGCCCACCTCGAAATCTGATATGAATGTCGAAGCAGGATTAACGTTAGACTTGGCTGGGTGATACATCCAAACTCTAATCTCTTCATCATATTCAAACTCAAATACATACCTAATTAATTCAGGGGAAAGCTTGGGGAAAGCCGGGGAAAGCCGATGTTGTTTACTTTACTTACTTACCCCGCGATTGGGATCTTCCAAGCCTTCCACTAAATGTGCGGCCGCCTGGCGAAATGGCATCGCGTCTGACTACGATATGTTATGTCAAATCAGGAGATTGCAGGTTCGACCCCTGCGGTGGTCATTATTTTTTCTTAATAGAGTCCCTTCCACCCCGAAGTCCTGAATCGACGCTCACTCCATTTTCACACAAAAACCACGCTCAGCCAAAAGATTGAAAGAACAATTCACACCAGTAATAATATATGCACAGCTAAAGATACAATTCATATTGCAAGAATCACAAATCAATGGGAAGAGAAATAAGCAAGTAGATACACTGAAAGTGAAAGGCACGATAACAATGAAGCGTAAACATTGACAACTAGGACAACGACGAAAAAACTACTACAACAACAGCGAGAATAAAGTGCTAGTAAAATAATATGCGAGGAAAGCGTAAAGCGTAGTGGTAAGTGTCGTGTTCACAGAAGCTAGAACTGAATGGAATGGAACGGGAAGACTTGGCTCTGGGTATGCGAGGAATATATACAGTCGAGTCGTCGGCGGGTGGCGAGCGGATTCTAGTATCGATACACGGGTGGGGTCACGGTCGGATCGGGATTGTAGTGTACTTCTTTGTTTGTGGTGGCGCGTGCGATGGGATGGGGTATATGAGGATGGGTGCGTAGAGGTCGTAATAAGGTGTCTATGCGAAGTCGAGGCCCAGAGATGAGTGATGCGTGGTCCAAGCAGCGGCTCTAATACCCATCTACAATCAACTCATTAAAATTCAACGCCTTCGGCGGCGTAATCTCCGTAATCGTCTCACACTCCCTCCAATGCGCATTCGGCGTCGCGTGCTCCCCGCCACGTCCATTCTCCTCCCCATCAAAGCCGAGGCCCAACCCTTCCGCAAAGGGATCCTCCACGCGCAACGAATGCGTATAGCTCTCCAACTCCTTAATATGCGCCTCGAACGCTGAGACATCGAACTTCGTCACCGGCGCAGGGTGCAGGATCTTTAGCCCGCTCTCGCCCGCGGCTTTGTTGGGGGTGATGGCGGTGGTGGTGGTGTGGTATGGTGGGAAGGGGAGCGGCGAGCCTCGCGAGGAGGGGGAGAAGGAGGTGGAGGCGGAGGCAGCGGAGGAGGGGAGCGCGCTGGAGTGGGGGCCGGGGGTGGAGGGCGCGGAGAACGACTCGGGGATGCGGACGTGTATTTGGGAGAAGCTTTCGCGGCGGAACATGGCGTTGTCTGAGGCGAAGTCGCCAAGGGTGAAGGAGGATGCTGAGGCGGAGGAGGATGCGCCGGAGGACGCGGAAGACGCAGGCCATGCGAAGCGGTCGAAGACGTTTCCGAAGACGGGGTTGATGGGTGTGAGGGGGTTCGCCTCGGATGGGAAGGAGGGATAGGAGGGGAATGAGGAGGAGGCGTTGTTGAAGTCCGCGAAGAGGTCTGGTGCAGAGATGGAGCGACGATGCGTAGGCCGCCATTGTGCGTGTCCCGAGCCCGAAGCAGACGTCGACGCCTGCTGCGCAAAGATCTGCTCGTGGTTGAACGCGTCCCCAAATGCCGTGTTCGGCCCCGCACACGTAAAGTCCATGCTCGTCGACGGCCGCTTCATGCTCAGCCTCCGTGCCGCCAGCTGGTTAAACGAGTACGCATTGGGAATGCCCATTGGGGCGTAGAAGAATGTGTTGTCCAGCACCGCGGGGACGGAGGAGGAGCGGCGGCGGTAGAAGTGGCTGGGGAGCTGCTGGGGCGCGGCGAAGGCATTGGAGGGCGTCGCGGGTGGCGAGGCGGGCGGGGGCGACTCGCTGTAGTGTATGCTGAGGCCCTGCGATTGCTCCTCCATAAGACGGTAGGACGCGGAGAGGTCGTCGATCTCCGAGGTGGCGGCCTGCTGAGCCATCTTTTGGGCTTTGGGGATGCGAGGCCTGCTGTTGGGCTTGCGGGGCTTGCGGATGCAGTTCCCGTTCTCGTCGCGCGGGTGGACGGGCTTGTAGCGGTAGTTGGGGTACTTTGCCTGGTGCTCGAGCTTCTTCTCGAGAGCCTTCTCGACCCACGGCTGTTTCTGCTCTTCGCTCATGGATCGCCACATCTCGCCGAGGCTCCGCGAGACCTCTGGCGTCGAGTTCTGCGTCTCCATTGCGCGGATATATTCACTGGATCGACGTCAGTACGCGGAATTGATGGAGGAGAGGGCTGTGCTTACGTTCGGAAGACGATGAACGCATTTGGAGGACGGGGGATGTGACCCGGGGGACGTGATTTGCCATGGGAGCGCTTCTTCTTGCCCGAAGGCGATGTGGATGGTGATGATGCGGACGGCGAAGGATCTGCGTCGGGATAGTAGAATCCTGAACCAGTGTAAACGGGAGACGGGGTCTCCACTAGATTGTGGTGAGAATGTGAGCGAACAATTAATAACTGGGAGGAGGACCACATACCCGGAGAGACGGAGCGTTTGTTGTTGCGTGTAGGAGGCATTCTCTTACTCGAAGACAATAGAGGGGGATCGATAATCGGTGTTGGACAACAAGTGCTATTGTCCTCATTCTTATACACGCTCGACTTCCCCGTCGCCGCGCTCATGTACTTTCCCACGTGTCCCCCGTGCTTCCCCTTCAGCACAAAGGGATACCCGACGCTTCTGATCCGGCCAAATCCCGTCCCTCCTCTCGCATTCGAGAATACAAGGGGACTTGTCAGGGCACAATATCGTACTCGACTATCCTCGACGCTGGCTGCGTCCTCGACATTGCTCTCAAGTCCTCCTCGTCCTCCTCGTTCTCCTCGCCGTCCATCGCCCCCTAGTTACCCATTACAAATTCCAGCACATCGTTCCCCCCTGTATTTCGTATTTCATTTCATCCCACGTCATCTCGATTTCGATAAGCCTCGGTCATTTCCAGTTATAAACTTGTCCATATCCATCGCGTGTGCGCCTAATTAACGTCCCCGCTCGCTCCCTTTGAGACCCGGAGCGTGTGCCCCTCGCTACCACGTGGCGGATGCAATTCCTAGCCGAGCCGCTTCCGGCTGTCCTTAATTATCCTGAAGAACCACTTCCACCACAACCGTCATTGCACTTTCTTGTACTTTGAATTTCCAGCTCTTCTGCAAAAGCACGGGAGACGCATTGTTGCTATGATAACTCGACAGCCCTGTGGCGGCGGATTCTCTGATGCAAGAGGATCATCCCTATATTCGGAGACTCGGAGCTGGGGCTGTGATTTTAATGATATTCGTTCGCGGACTCCGTGTCGTCTATACTTGATGAGCTCAGTTCTAAAAACTCAGTATACGAATGTAAGAATGAAATATCATTAAATTCAAGAGCACCCCGGCGTACCGCCACTCAATCACCGAAATCCTAATCTAATCTGTTCCCCCATCCCCAGCCTTCCCCAGCCTCATTGTCCTCCGTCCCACCAAGGAATCAAAAGGTGAATTAACGAACTAGTATCATCAGCTTCAAGTGATCACTAATCGTTCTGGTGCACCGCCTTTCGTTGTTCGATCATAGGCATCAACATCCAGAATCATTTCTTTATCCCTTTATTCTACACCAAGAAACCAGGGAAATCCATAGACTACTAGTACCATCATCAATTACTCTATGTATTACCAGTATTCGGCGAGGGAAGGGAAGGAGAGGCTGTCCGAACGGGATCACTATGATATTCGTGCTGTATGCGGGCTCCCGGGGTGGTTCACATATTTATCCATAATCTAGCGAATCTGTCTCATTAATCAGGATGTTCAACTCAGTTCTAAAAACATCTCCAGGGTTGCTAAATATCTCCAAGAGCATCAGGGAGCCTAACCCGGAGTACTAGAACTAGGAAGTACTGCCTCTCCCCATCGCCGCTCGATCATGACCAAATATCCTACAGTCTAATCTAATCTTATCTCTCATCCCATTCCCTTCTATAATGTGAGGAATCAAATTATAAATTACTCTACAGAATCACTACCATCATCAATTAATTATTAACCAAATCAATTATTCTCTGGTATTATACTAATATTTCAGGAGAGGAGAGGGAGGAAGCTGTTCACAGCCCGGGTCATATTATTATTCGTACGGACTCCCAGGATTAATAGGCTTGTCCATACTCAGTTCCAAAGCATCTATTATATAGTGATATAGTGCTTTTATATAAATAAGCAGCAAGTGCCAGGGAGTACCGCCTTTCCCTCATCGCCACTGGCACTCACCGTTTCATCCCATCCCACATTCCCTTCTAAATAATTTATTTTTTTACAAAACACAAACCCTAAACTCAAAACAAAAGAGCTCTCTAGCAACGACCGCATCGCCCACCCTCTAATCAATCAAAATCTCTTCCAAAAAGTACAATGCAAAAGCCCAGGTCCTAGTGATAGATGTGGTAGAAGTGGCAGTGCAGACCCCTTCATCGACATTCGTCTGAATAAGGAAATACTGATCGATATAATTTCTGAAAGGGAGGGAGAGAAAGGAAGCTGATCGACGACGGCCCTGCGCCCTTTCATGTGATTGGCTGAAGCGCCAGGGTATGGGTGTAGGACGCTGTTTTCCTTTGTTTGGCTGAACTTTAAATTCCTCATTCATCATTGTTGTGATTATTCGGGAGAGCTACGGATGACCGAGTGAGAGGCGAGCCTGGATTTCGTCATGCGCATG